CAAAAATCCCTCATAAAGTATATGATACAGCCACAGGACAATACCAAGAGAGTAAGTACTCAAACCAAAATCCGCAACCAAAAGTGTGTATACTAGGTGAGACTATAAACAATCCCAAGTCTCACCATAAGATATTCCATACTATGCCACACCCATCGATGGAATTAAAGTATAAAGTGTTTCTTATTTATGAGAGCACATAAGGGGAGACTTCTAATTTCTTTTTGATATGAGATTCATGTTATTTCTATTATAACAAACAAAAGACAATTGTTATTCTGTGTGCGATTCTCCTCAAGCCACAAAACGACGGTAATTATATCAATATATTCTACTATGAAATGTTTCAAATGTAGGATCCTTCCATTATGGATGAAATCACCATTCATACACAACCTAGGTTGCTAAATTTTTTGTTTAAAGAAGTGGTAGGGTCGTTTGGCGCACGTGGTGCTTAAATCTCCTCAATCCACCCATTAATTTACATATGGAGGCTTAGATGCTCATGTATCATTTATGTAACCAAATTCCCAAGGATATATTTATCTTCACAAGGAAATAGATTTTTTTAGGAATAAAATAAATACAAACTTAATAGGAAGACGTGTGCCTGACCTCTAGCTAGCCAATGAAAGAAAAAGAAAAATTAACCAATTTAGAGCTCTGGAAACTAAAGGCACAAAAGATCAACTCTATTTTTCATGTGCCCTCATCTTGCTTCTACTATCATACGCTGAGTTTGGTGTTTTCTTGCTCCTAATGACTGTTATCTTTGTCCGCATCAGAGAATTTAATCTAGGTCAAAATCACTATTGGGAGATCGCATCCAACCTCAAAATCACCAATACAAATCCACGTGCATTGCCACGCTGCGTTGTAGAAGTCCCTCTTTGTCGGAATCTTGATGCATATAACTGCTTTTATTGAAGGGAACCCTAACCTCCATATTTGAACATGGACCATCTTTTTGATTTAATCTGCTAATTTCAAATCTCATGTTGTTAAGTCTTCCTTCCGGTTCATTTATGCAGCCAGCTATCTACATCACAAGTTTAGCTGCAGTTGAAGTGCTACGAGCTCGTGATGGAGGTCAGGCAATAATTGATTCTGTGGATGTCACGTGTGGTCTAAGCTTAGGGGAATACACTGCTCTTGCATTTGCTGGAGCTTTCAGGTGAGCTGCCCAGTTTACAAGTCTTTTTCCATTTACACTTAAAACCTCACGCTATTGATATGTGGTATTTGTGGGTATGTGTTAGTCGCCTTGTACAATTCACGTCAGTGTGTCTATGCTTACAATTCCCCAATCTACCCTTCCCTTCCACTAAAAAAATAAATAAATTAAAATAGTAACATAAGCCAATGATGAATATCATAATAGGTTCTCATACCATTGACTCAAGACTTGCTAGCTAAATTATTTTTTGCCCGTTGGTTTGATTTCATATTTAGCTTTGAGGATGGGCTCAAGCTGGTCAAGTTAAGGGGTGAAGCTATGCAGGTAATACTACCTATTGTTAGCTATTCTACATTTACATTTGTCTCACATGACACAATCTTCTCGATATCATCAGGATGCTGCTGATGCTGCTAAAAGTGCCATGGTTAGTATCATTGGATTGGACTCCAAAAAGGTGCAACTGCTGTG